CTGTAAAGATATTTAAGCATGAGGAGGATATTTTTAGTAGAAGAACTGTCATAAAGGAAAAGCAAAACAATCCAATGAACAGTGTAGAGAACTTTGAATTGGTCATCCCAGTTCTGCTGTGAGCTGGCTCCAGGGCCCGAGGAATTTGTCAGGTTCTTCTGACCCCTCTTAGTCCCAGGTTCCTCATCTATAAAGTGAGGCGGTGGATTAGCTGATCTCTCTTTGCTTCCTTATCTGATGTTTCATATCTGTGGTGAAGCCTTGCCAAATAGGACAAGATGTCCATCGTTAAGAAGTTCATGAAACTATGGGAGAGATAAACACAACCAACCTCTATAACACCTGTTGTGTTTCAAGGAGTTATAATATTTAAAGCAGTTACGAGCTGATTTTGCCAGCTCATTGTCATGGTGGCTGCCAGAGGATTTTAAACAGTACTGGGCTCAGCAACCAATTCAGTGAAAAACTTTGAAAGAAGGCATTCCGTACGTAAAGTGAGATACTCTGCTGAGACAGTGACTTTAACTGAATGCTTCTTGACAGGCAACACTAATAAGTGTATTGACCCTTGGGTGTATTTCACCAAAACCTTGTAACTGCCCAAATATCTTTGTGTGATGTATCAGTTATCTGTTGCTGTATAACAAACCACACAACCCTTATGGCTTAAAACAACAACCATTTTATTTCTCACAATTCGTGGATTGGCTGGTCTTGCCTGGGCTCAGTCATGTGGCCCCATTTAGGGGGTGGGTTGACTGGGGGCTGCCACAGCTGGGATGGCAAGCCTTTCTCTGCCTGGGGTCTTTCATCTTCAAGGAGGTTGGACCCAGTTTCCTCACTTTCTTCACAGTGTTCCAAGAGAGCAAGGAGTACTGCACAAGTGCTCATCAACTGTCCCTGCTTTTGCTGTATTTGTCGATGTCCCAGTGGCCAGAGTATGTCACATGGCCAAGCTCAGGGTCATACCAAGGTATAATTCATTCCAGGTCATTAGTTGTACCAATGTTTAAACTTTCCACTCTTAGACATGGATTGCAAGATATGCAACTATAACTTACAAATGATAGCGCTTTCACAAAGATACAATATACATGTCATTACTAGTTAAAAGGAAGCATTTGAAGTCACCTTATTAAGGGACTGAGTCCTACATCAAATGGCTCCACTTACCTTATAAAATTATTCATTAATTTTTAGCAGTGGCTTTGGGAAGTTATATACATAATATTTAGAGAAAAATGGCATTTACAATTATAATGAATGAAAGCAATTCACACTGCAATACTGCTCCAGTTTGGAACTTGAGGCTTGCTAACTTCATATGTAGCAGCATCCATGCACCCCCTCCCCCTAATCCCTCTGCCCTAGTATGTGCATGCCTGTCCCCTCCACTGGACCTCAAACACCTTTGAGGTTAGAAGTCCCACTTCACCCAGGTTTGTTTCCTTCACTCTCACAGTGCCTACAACACTCAGGAGATGTGCCCTAAATGCTTGTTAAACTAATCAATCGTTATCTTTTATGTAACACATATATGTTCCAGGGACTTTACCCACATACCGGATCACCAATTCTCTCTCTGTGCCACAGATAAATGTTATTCATTTTCCAACTGAGGGAACTGAGGTGCGGAAAGCCCAAGGTGGACGGGCTGGGATTCTAGCCAAGTCCCACCTGATGCCACTTCACTGCTGCTTTATGTGTGGAGCAGGAAGGAGACTGTCAGAAGTGGAAAGATGGCCTCAGGGTGCTGAGAGAAAGGCAAGAAGAAAACAGTTAAGAGGCAGTGGCCTGCAGGGGCCCCAAACTGTTCACTGCTTTGGCAATAAAATAAACACTTGTTGAGAGATTGCCCACTGAAACCCAGGGGAAAACCTTCAGAAGAGCCAGTTCTACAGCTCTTGCGAAAACCAAGACCAGTTAATTCTTGGGGGTGGGGAGAGGAGGGACTGGAGAGGCCTTGCTCTGGGGGCTGGCCCTGTTGGGCAGATGACAATACCACACATACCAGGGCGCTGCGGTTGTCTTCAGGTGAAAAGGTAGGTAGCCTTTATTTTACATTTTGCCTATAGTTCTTATTAGCTACTAGATCAGTAATATTCTAAGAATAGCTACATTTAGTTACTACCGTATACGTGTATAAAGCGCTATACATAGAATGCATCATCTTAATTAATCCTCCCCAAATCCTATAGAGTAGATTTTATTAGCCTTAATTTACAGATGAGGTGCGGTACCCAGGAGATCAGCTTTCCGGAGATTTCCAGCTTTTAAGCGGTAGATCTGAAACCGAAGTCTGTTTGACTAAAAGCCCTGGATAACATTCAGCTGTCTGTGGGCCTCTTGTGGCCTTGGTGCTGGCCTGAGGTGGGGAATTGTGAATCCCATTTATTCATGGAAAGCTGCGCACGTGGGGGGGGGG